AAATTTTTAGTTATTTATAATACTAAATATTAATACTAAGTTTGCTACTTAATTTTTAAAAATATTTTTTACTATTCATTTGTTATTATTTATTTATATTATAACATTTATTATATTAATCTGAAATAATAGAAATTGAACTCAATTATAGATTGAATATTAATATTTTTATTGCTAGAAATTTCGATAAGATTTGGAGATTCAAAAGAGGTAGGAGTTGTAAGAACGAAAGTAGGAATTGTATATTTAACATCAATAAAAATAAGGGTTTTCTAGGACAACAAGATTAAAGAAAGGCCAAAAGAAGACATAACATTTTCAAGATAGAACTTGTAGGTCAAGGAACATTATTAGAGGCACAAATAACCATGTATGAGGTTTATAGTAGGTTTTAAATTTCGACTCGGGTTGTAGTTTTGTACATAATATATTATTAATATATGTATATATTAATCTTCTCTGTTATTTTGTTATTCTTAAATATCTGTAAATTGTAAATCAAATTGATAATACAAAGTTTATTTGTTCAAGATTGCAAAGAAAAAGAATCAAATAATTGTCAATATGAATAATTAATATACATATGATGAATCCATTACAATCTAAAATATTTATTCAGGACAATTATCAGCTCGAGATTTATTGTTTATTAAAATATTTAGTGATAAATTTTAATTAATAAGAATTTTTCATATTGTTGTCAACAGTCTAGATAAAAAAATGGCTCCGAATATAACCAGCACACCGACGGGAGTACTCTTCGAGGGCGATACTATAACTGAGACGCAACTGATAAAGGAACCGAAAGAAAAATCCAAATACGTCAGGCGTATTATTTGGAAGAATGTGGCAATTTTCTCGTTTTTACATCTCGGCGCTCTTTTCGGAGTTTATCTCTCGTTTACATCCGTCAAATTAGCGACCGTTGTTTTCGGTAAGTAGCATGTTACCATTAACATACTCTTAAGATCAATTTTCTTAATTGCTCGTTTTTTTGCCATCCGAACACCTATCTATTGTTAAAACTAAAGAGTAGCCAGTGCATGAATGCGGTAAATAATTACTGTCCTTTTCTTATTCTTGTGATAACAAAATTCTAAAAAATATTCTTTTTCCAAATTATTCGAGTGTAACACTAGCAATGTTTTTAAATTATTATTCGTTGTTGTAATTTGTTTAACTTTGCACTGAAGCAAAACTTTTTAACACGAACGATTAGCGGGATGTCAATCAGGTCTACTAAAATATTACATTCGACGAACCTGCGAGTCTTTTAAACGACAACGCGCAAGATCAATACACGTGTTAACGTAATAGTTTTTTTATTATTTTATTAAAGCTGAAGCTCTTTTGATTTTTTTCCCTGACATTATACAATTTAATTTTCATAATTGGAATGTAAGAAATCTGATTAAAAACGTAATACTTTAATTACAAGGTTTATGCCAATTATATTATGTGAATATAATTTACAATTTCAGTGGAATATGATGCATATATATGCATAATTTTTAATTTTGCTTTATAGTTATTGAATTTAAAACATATATAATTTTTATTCAAAATAAAATTATGTATTATTTTGCGTAAAGAAAAAAGTAATATAATATGTTGCAAAAGTTGAAATGTTTAAAATTACGCGATTCATGTTTGCAAAATTAAAAAAAAATAATTTCTTGCATAATTTTCCAATGTGATTGTAAATAAAAAATGAGTGAAAGGTTATTGAAAGGTTATTCACAAAGTAATTTCATAAATAAAATATTTGATCAGCATTGTCGAACTTGTTTTTCATATAAAGGCATAGCTTGTTTTAAGACAGTCGTGATCGTTATCAAATAAGACGGCACTATTGCAATAGTTTCGAATTCCTTTGTGTGTAATCATGCATTTTCTCCATTATAGCAATCTTGTTATATCAATGCAGCGGCTTCGGAATCACAGCCGGAGCTCATAGATTATGGGCACACAGATCTTACAAAGCCAAGTGGCCTCTCCAGCTGCTGCTTATGATTTTTAATAGTATAGCGTTCCAGGTACGTAAGAAAACAGATTTTTTATAAATTTCGAGAAATTTGACGAATAAAAGTATTCGTAAAAATAAAGCTTATAAAGCTTATTTTTTCTTAATAAATTGAAAGGCCAGAAACATGCACGAAATTAACTAGATATTAAATAAACGATCAATAATATAGTAATTAGTTGAAAAAAAAAAATTGGGATTAAATTAAATAATTATAGAGTTTACTTTTTTCTACTAATGAGACTTAAAAAATTCATGTCAGTGCAATGATGTCGCGTATAAAGCGCACGTCGCGTGTAAGAAAACTACTGCTTATGATTCAATACGTCATTAGACGTTGTCTAACAAGCAATCCGTTGTTTAGAAAAAAACATTCTTTTCCGTAAATTCGAGAATGCATGCGGTATTATCCGCTATAGATAGATCATTTATAGATATGAGTAAACATTTTCAGCATTTTTAATGCAAGAATTTAATGCGAGAAAAATATTCAAAAAGATATGTAAATAAAAAAAGTAATATAGACTGCAATTATGTGGCAAAAACACATTATTTTTGCTAATGAAACAAATTAAGGTATTTTATTTGTATCGATTAATATGTAATTATTTTGTGGGATCTAGGATGCCGCGATCGTTTGGGCTAGAGACCACAGAGTTCACCACAAATACAGCGAAACCGATGCCGATCCGCATAATGCTACGAGGGGTTCTTTTTCTCGCACGTAGGCTGGCTGCTTGTTAAGGAGCATCCTGAGGTGACGGAAAAAGGCAAGGAAATCGATTTGAGCGACCTCGAGAGCAACCCTATACTGGCATTCCAAAAGAAGTACGTGCGTCGCGGTTTAGTCAAAAAGTAATTCTTTTTGTCGGCAAATAAATTTAGTAAAATAAATTCTATGTGTTTCAGATATTATGTCGTGCTGGCGCCATTCTTATGTTTCGTTTTGCCTACTGTCATTCCAGTCGTGTGTTGGAATGAGACGTGGTTGAACGCTTATTTTATTCCCACCGTTTTGCGTTACATTTTCACGTTGAATATGACGTGGCTGGTAAACTCCGCAGCCCATATGTTCGGCAACAAGCCTTACGATAAGTAAGTATCAATAAAATGTCTCAATGCTTACAATCAGCTTTTAAATAAAATTGTTGATTTTTTATATATTCTTTTTTAACACGGAAAGAGTTTTTTTATCCGCTCCTTAAATTTGTTCTTTATTTACACTTGTCACTTGTGCAATACTTATTTCCGGAATGGCACGATCGACATTCTATTAAAGTTTCTTTTTCATTTGCTATAGATATATCTATCCGTCAGAGAACAAAGGTGTTACGATATTCACCCTCGGCGAGGGTTGGCACAATTACCACCATGTTTTCCCATGGGATTACAAGGCGGCCGAGTTCGGCAATTATAGTTTCAACTTTACGACGGCCTTCATCGACTTCTTCGCGAGGATCGGTTGGGCCTATGATCTGAAGAGCGTGTCCGAGGACATGGTAAAAAAACGCGTGGAAAGAATGGGCGACGGTAGTTACGAGGTGTGGGGCTGAGGCGATAAGGATCAGACGCAGGAGGAGAGAGATCAGGCGGTAGTGACGCACAATCATACAAAAGATCAGTAAGGTCGGGTGAGAGATTCGCGACTAGGATGTAAAGCTTCTCTCTCCAAATTTATCCACAGTTAATCCATTCCATAAAAATTCCATAAAGGATTTCATGCAGTGGTTCCATCGAGCCGGTCTTTCGGAACTTGCGTCTCGACCGTCGCGTCTCTCGACATGTTATCGCACGATTATATGACGGGTTTTATATAATATCCTCAGAAGACTCGGTATCGAGCAGAAAGTATCTCAATTTCTCATAATGTCGGTGGTGTTCTGGATCGCGGATGCCGTACTAACTCGGTAAAATCTTTTTCATCTACTCTCGAGATAAATCAAACTGCATTTGTAATTATTCGTAATATGTACTGCTATTACATAATTGTTTAACCGTTTTTATATATATTCAGTGGGTTATACGGGTTTTTAATATGTGATCGTAATCAAGAATACATACATTTATATATATGTACTATTGAGATACGAATCAAATATATTTTGTACTGTTGCCAATGAAATAACACATAAATTTACTGTAATACTGCGCGAAAATGAGAAATGCAGAAATATAAATTTATTTTAAGGTATATACAGTAATACCAAGTACACGAAAACCTTCCAAAAAAAAGTTGTTGTATACACGCAAACCTTACAAAAAAGTTGTTGTATTTTTTATTACAACATTAATCTAAGAGGACCGTCTTATATAACGAGGGTGGTGGTGGGATTTATATATTACTGAAAAAAAAGAAATGATATCAATCAACAAATTACCTTTTTAAAAAAAGGTAAAGAAAAGGCGCCAAGTACACGCAAACCTTCCAAAAAAAAGTTGTTGTATACAAAAAAGTTGTTGTATATTTTACTTCCAAAAAAAGTTGTTGTATATATAAACCTTTCAAAAAAAGCT